ATCCTGCTGTTCGGGCCGTTCGTCTAAAATAATAACTGTCACCGTTCGTTCCTGGAAGTCTTCCACCCAGGTTCGAGCACGCGTGTCTTTCTGTCAGCACGGATGGGAGCTGTACAGATCATCCCGACAGCAGGGAACACTCCTCTTGCTGCTGGTTGCGTGGACCAATGGCGTGGCAGCGTGGCGTCAGGGGGGAGCGGCTTCTGTCAGAGCCGCTCCTCCAGTTATTTTTACATTCTCTCCTCCTCGTGTCTCAGCACTTCATCATGCTTTCTGCTCCTCACTCATACATTTTAATGTCTGACCCACATTTCACTGGATCCACACACACACACACACACACACGCACGCACACACACACACACACACACACGCACACACACACACACCAGGGGAACTTTGAAGTCCTGGCTCAAACACCCAGGGGTGGAGGAGGAGGGTGCAAAGCTGCAACCTTTTCACTGTTTTCTGATGAAATTTGCCCTGAGAAGCATCAGAAAGAGGCAGGCGGGTCACATCAGGATACGAGCGGCGTGCCGCTGCAGCTTTACCCACGTTTGTGTGTGTGCAGCGTGCATGTAGCTACAACTAAGAAGAAATGTCACTGGAGAGCATATCAGTTTCATCTGAGTGTGTGTCCAGAACACTGATGGGTCCAGAGTTTGTGCAGCTTCTCTCCGTCTCAGGGGGACAAAAAAATCCCCTCACACAATGTGACTGTTTCCAGCCGTCAGTCCAGACCTGAGGAGGCGAAAGAGCGGATAACGTGAGATTATTTAGAGGTGTTTTGGGTTTTTTCTCTCGTTTAGAAGCTGATCAGAGTGCAGACATGGTGGATGTTAAAAGGCAGGCTGACCTTCTAAATAAGTGAATTTATTTTCGTAAACGCAGTCGTGTTCCTGATCAGTTTGCGGATCTCTGATAGTTCCACGAGAACCCGAGGCCATCTTTAAAAAAGCCTCAAACAAAAACGTAACCTTCAAAAATCTCTGAAGTGATTAGAAACATGAAATTAAAAACCGCAGGACGGCAAACGGCTTTTATTAGTGATCGCCTTCTCCTTTCATTCACTCTGGTGTCTTTAAACCTGGTTGAAGGGGATTAACGATCCCGTTTCATCGACGGTAAAGGTTAATGGAATCAGACGTTGTTCGTACCGAAGCTCTTCGGAGGAACGACATGAACATGTTTGGATGTTTGACCTGCTTCTCTTTAGAAATTGGGATTTCATTATTTTCCCTGTCCAGCGACAGGAATTTTTAACCGGATGCCACCGAGCATCGTGGGAAGTTATAAAAATCTTTACATTTTTTAATCTGACTAACCTTCGTGAGAAAATGTGTGATACCTGAGTAGAGGCCAGGTGTGCCGTCACTTCCTGTTCCAGCATTCGGATCCGTCCTGATTTCTTTCTGAATATTTCCTCCTTCCAGGTTTAAACGCTTCATCTGTGTAAATGCCTTTAATTTATTATTTAGAGCTTTTATTTAAAAACCTCTAATTGCGACCAGACACAATAAATCTAGAAGCAATAACATCTTTCAATTTTCTATAAAATCAAATAATCTCTGGAGGTTTAAATAAAGTAAAAAAAAAAATCTGAGATTAGAATCTGTTTGTAAAACAGGTTATTTAAACTAATTTGTCATTTTGTTTTGAAATAAAATAATATACATTTTTAGCTTTAATGCAAAAATCAGAATAAGTAAAATAACTTATGTTTCTCTGGTGGTTCTGCTCTGAGAACATCTGACAGCTTCGGTTCTCCATCAGCAGGTTCTGATCAGCTGACCAGAACACTTGTTCACCTGCTAAATAGGTTGTTTATGAGAGATTCAATTATTAGGCAAGAAGAACAAATCTAATCTTTTATTGCCATAAAACTTAAACTACTAATTAAACATTTTGTGTTTGTATTTTTGTTTTAACTTAAGCACAAAATTCAACAGATTATTTGTAATCTTTCAGAAAAAATGTCTTACAGCTTTAAAAAACATTAATTGTGTTAAATAATCATTTGATTTAGATCCACATCAGATTAAAATTATTTATTTTTTCTTAACAGAAACAAAATATTAGACAAATAGTTTTTAAATTTAATTTAGAACAAGAAGCGATATCTTTTAGCATCAAATAGAATTTCTGTGGAGTTGAACTTGTGTGTGAAGAGTTGTCATGTGACCTGTCGTGTTTCATGAGACACTTTGTTTTAGCGTCGCCGTTACGATACGAGTTTAAATCTGTTAAACCTCTACGCCAGGGGCGGCGTTAGGCCCGGCTACTTGGGCTCAAGCCCCGAATGTTTTATGAAAAGCCCCGGATCTCAAACCTGGAAGTAACATGCAGTACCAAAGTCCAACAGAGAGGGAGCAGCTGGCAGTAGTTTGTATACAGCCTGCCTGAGCCTCCACCACTGAAGAAGAAGCCCTTCAGCAGCCGGCTTCTTCTACACTCTCTGACTGAAACGCATGAGTGAAGATGGACATAAGGACGTTTTTTAGACCAAAAGTACGGCGACAGAACCCCAGCTTTGATGAGACTGGTGTTGACTCAGGTTTGTGAGTCTTATTTGAAAATATTTGTGATTTGTAATGTATATGATGTTGACTAGTGCGTGTCATGTGTGTGTGTGTGTGTGTGTGTGTGTGTGTGTGTGTGTGTGTGTGCGCACGCGCGTGTGTTAAGCCCCGGATCTTCTTCAGTCCTAAATCCGCTCCTGCTCTACGCAAAGCTGTGACATCACACCTATGATACAAGACGACTCTGGATCAGATTTTTAAAGATCAACTTTTATTACATCGTGTTTAACTTTAGGAGCAACGCGCACAAAACTGCAGTTCCTTCTTTAAATAGCAGGAGACGCCACAGAGCAAATGGTACATTTATTTAGCTTAGTTTGACTCTCTCGGCTAAATGCAGATGCCGTTTTGATTCAGAAATCTGGTTTTCGTTGTTTTCTAAACCCAGAATCTGATCTACTCGATTAACAGGTCTGGAACCCGTCTCGAACTCGTCTCGAACCCGTCTCAGTTTACTGTGAAGATGTGAGACACCTTTGGCTGGACAACTTTTGAAATCTTCCCCACATGACCTGTCACATGACCTGTCACATGACCTGTCTCCTATCAAAGAGCCATCAGTGTGGTTCAAACCAAATATTGAATATTTCCTGTTTGACGTCTCCATCTAGTCTCTGCCTGTGTCAGCCTGGCGAGACGCCGGTCTAAGCGTTCCACTTTGGTCCAGATTTAGTCTGGATGTTTTAATTCCAGAACCTCTGAGTGGATCTGGACTGTTGACGTCGGGTTGGTCTCGTCTGATGGAGGTCGTGGTGCTGTGGGTCGAAGCGTCCATGTGGCAGGACGGGTAAACTGACACCATTCTTCATATGGCTGCCACCGGCGCAGTAATGTGCTCGCTCCGATCTGTCGTCTGATTGGTCCGCGGGGCCTGGGCTCGGGGACGTGGAGGTTTCTGGTGCAGATGGTGACTTTTGACCCTTCGAGCAGCTTGAGAGTTTAGGAAGGGAAAGAAAAGCAGAGTAACGTTACACGCGGGCTCTCAGAGGAGCGAAGGGCAGCGCTGTCAGTCTCAGGCTGCCTGGAAGCTCGTCTGTTTTCTTTTTGGGGGTTTAAGGTGTTTCTGAAGCCGTCTAAACTTTCCGCTGTCGTCCTGCCGTCAGTCTGGTTCTCCTCTCAGGCCTGAATCTGCAGATGTTTCACCAGATATTTATACGTTACCATAACCGGTGTTGGACGGACGTCTCACTCGCTCATTTGAAGCTTCACTCTGACTTTGATGATCTTTGTGTTTCTGGGATAAGACCAGTTAAATAAACCAAACACTAAATGTTCAGATCCGATCACAAAGTTCTGGAACCTGCCGCTCCACCAGGCTCAGGTGTTATTTAGTACAAATTAGTTTAAAGAAATGGTTCATAAACATAAAATATATTATGTTTAAAGAGAGTTTTAAAGGCTCAGTGTGAATTATTCCAGGATGAAGGCAACACTTGGAACAATTACAGCAGAAAAGGTCAAACCGGTGAATGGGGTAAAAATGCCGTGGTTGGAGTCGGACCAGCTTCCTGTCGGGGTTCATTCTGATCTATGAAACCGGAACGTTTGGCTCTGCCTCCCAGTCTGAACCAGTGTGTTGTGGAAGGTGCGTCTCAGGATTAGAAGATGTGCTGCAGATGTGGGCTGAGTTACGGGTCCAAGGCAAATGCAGCCCTTAAGCCTCCTGGTGCAGAACGTTCCGGTTCCTGGTTGGAACACGAGCTGAATTTAACTGTAAAAATCTAGAAAAAAACATGGAGACATTTAAATAAAACATTATAAACAACTAATTTACACTTTTAATTACCTGTCTGCAATATTTTAACATTATTAAACATTATTATCCTCACTGCCTCGAATGAATGAAACAGGCTTTTATTTCTGGGGATTAAAGAGCCACAGAGGAAACTTCTCAGTCGGAGCTGAAGTCAGAATTAGTGATTTCTGATTTGTTTAACGGGTAATTCTGAGACGTGTGGAACCGAAGGTTATGGTACGGGTTTCTCCCTGACAACATAACTTTAGTTTAGAATAAATCCCAGAACGGGTACAGGACGACCCTCGGAGAGCCCAGCTTTCCGCCCGCTGGATTTTCAGTTTGAGGTTGTTGGAGGACTCAAACTGCACCGAGATCAGATTTAATCCGGAGCGACTCCCGTTTCTCCCTTTCCTCTAAGCGTGTCGGTGATCTAAAAGCCCGTCAAACACAAAGCAACACGTTTGTATTTCACTTTGAATAAAATGAGCCAAAGTGTGGAGCTGGAGATCACATCTGTGTGTCCGACGTCAACGGCGAAGGCGTTCGAGCTGCTTCTGGAGTCCACCAACATGCTGATCTGTGACTCAAACACCTAAACCAGCGCTCTCCATCAGAACCAGTAAATGGACCCAATGTTTGTGACTGGAAACCATTGATGTGATTTATTGGTTCTGTTTTTACAGAAAGGCTCGGACGCCAGTCGGAGGACTCCGAAGTGCTTTACTCAGTGAATCATTCATTCACACGCTGGTGGTCAAGAGTCACCGAGATCCTTCAGGTCAAAGGTCAATCTCCAAGTACGTGACAGACGTAGTCAAAACCCACGTCGTTACTTTTCATTTAAATTGAGGTATATGTGCGATCCAGGGAGGAAGGCGAAGCGGATGAGAAAATAACGGGTTTAGCCCACTTCAGGGATCAGTGAGCCGTCCGGAACGGGAGGAGACGTAGGCTCCCTATCCTGGCTTCTCCGGGAATGCTGTGGAAGTTTTTCAGACCGGTTTTAACCCGGGACAATGTTCCTCACGTTTGTGGAACAGGAGCTGAGAGATTTTATCCACATCAAACTTTCAGAAGGGTAAACTTCTCCCTGCTGAGGGGGTGGAGCCAAAGGGAACATTGGACAATTTTATGCCTTTTTTTTAATTGATGTTTTTTATTTTGACTAAATGATTTAATTTGTTGTTAAACTTTCTAAAACTTCCCAAAGACATTTGAAACAAAGTCTTTAAAGACCAAGTTCACTGAGAAACCAGTTTTAATGATTATTTCTGATTCTAACGGGTCACTCTGAGTGTTTCATGCAGGCTGAACATGAAGATAGTCTCCTACACCTATCTCCTGCAGTAGCTTCTGACAGAAAACAGACGGTGAAACTCTAGGATTAGAAAATCCTGACAGATCTACGTCACCCTGTCACTAACATTCATGGACTCACCCATCTTCACTCAGGGGAAGGCTGTTGTTGGTTTAGCGTCCAGGAAACAGCAGAGAACGTCTCTGCTAGTAGAAGCTAACGTTAGCATTAGCAACTTCACCACACAGCAGAACCCCTCCAGGCTTGTGTTATTGGTGGAGGTAAAACATCAACGATGCAGAGCAAACTGGGTCGGTGGTAGAGTCGTGCGCTGTTAGCCAATCAGAGGAGAGATGCCTGAATACCAGGACTCCAGATCCTGCCGGTTTCTGCTCACTTCTGCTGCTGGAACAGGCGCACCAGAGCTTTTTCCCACACAGAGATCACTTAAAAAACAGAGGACTGCAAATGTGTTGGAGAAACCCCCCAGTGAACTTTGTCTTTAACCTCCCACAGTTGTATAAACAGTTTAAACATCAAAGTGTAAATACTTTTGTGTCCTTCCATCCCCGTGCCACTCTTCGTTAGACGTAATGTTTTCTCTCGAATCCTTCAGGAGTGCAGAGTGAGAACCCACAAGCTCACGTTGAATTTCATCATGTAATCATCAAAAAGGAAGTGAGGGAGAACTTAAACAGGTTTTAGCTGCTGGAAAAGCTCCATACTGATCACGTGACTGAATCTTAGACCTACGGCATTTAGGTTTAATCCTTATGCCTGAATTTCTACGTACAAACATGGACGACATCTGGCCGCCGGCGGCTCTTTCAAACATAATAAATCAGTTTGTTGTTGACTCAGGAGATTTTACTGAAACCTGAAATACTACAGAACAAACTCCTACTGCCACACCTGTGTGTGTGTGTGTGTGTGTGTGTGTGTGTGTGTGTATTTGATTTCACACCAAAACAGCGTCCGCTTCAATCTCATCCCTGATTGGACAGCCTCAGGCTCACGTGTGTTGGGAAGATGTTTGTTACATTTAATTAGAAACCATGAAATATGAAATATCTCCTTAATGGATCTTTGAGTAAATTTAACCAGAAGATCGGATCTTTTCATTGCAGGGATTGAGCAACACTTCGTATCAACTCCAAGGAAGAGAGAGAGTCAGGTTTAAAAAGTTAAAAGATTTATTTCTAAACAAATTAAACTAGACTAACTTTAAACACTCTGTGATGATGAACTAAGGTGGAGTAAGACTGAGGATGGTGTGTGTGTGTGAATATGTTCAGAACCAGCAAATCCGGAGAAACGATTAGTTCTGATGGGAGTGAAAGGGTGTTTCGCTCTAAGCTTTGGTTTGGAGATTATAACACACACTGAGACGCCATCTGTCGGTCTACGTACCCCAACCTTGGCAACCGTAAACTCATTCACTGCTATTGATGACTAAAGTCGTCATCTTAAATCCAACCATTTGCATTTTTTTTTTTACTGTGTGGGCGTCGGACGAGCCCCCGCCCCGTGAGAACATCTCAGCTCTAAAGCCGATCTTCATCCACGTACGTCACACATCACGTGACCAGGAAGTGGAACATCCATGTGTTAGGAGATCGTTTTGGGCCGCTGCTGTAAAAAAAGTGAGGCGCGAACCGGAAAAGCTTCTGCCGATCACAATTCAACAACGGATTATGAAAGAACGGATAACGCTCAAAACTCGCAGATTCTTCCTGATGGAAGAGGTGAGTCTCCTCTTTGTTATGGTTGTTTTGGCGTCGACATCATCCTAGCGCAGTAGAAACGGCGAGAAACGCTGGCGGCGAAGGGCTTTAGTCATCAGGAAACGGCCGGCAGTGAATGAGTTAAAAGTCCCTGACGGTTACCATGGCGATCTAATGGGCAAGTGACGGCAGCTTGAACGTTTCGGCTTGTTCCTGTTAGAAAGCTCAGGATAATCCTGATCTGCATTTTCATTTGGGATAAATCCAGAATTTCCTGTTAGTGTAAAGATGAATGTTCTAGATTTGCTTGACTTTTTTAGCTCCCTAAATCTAAAGGTTTTATTTATCTTATTGACCCTTTGTGGTCCCGATTATTATTAAGATCTGTTAGTTTCGAGAGGAAAGCACCGCGAGAGGCTCGTTTGTCTGCATAACAGAGTTTGGGGCCAGAAATAAACCTGAACTTTGTTCTTTTGTTCCATCGAGCTGCAACCTGAGCCCATCTGCACACGTTTAGATAGGCGCTTCCAACACGTTAGCGTCTGTAATCTCTTCACCATGCCTTTGATGACGTCCAGGAGCTCTTCTGTTTCACCGCCACAGGAGAGCAACACGCATTAAACGGGCTGGTTGGAGTCCCACGGGCAGGTTCAGAACACTTTAGGTTTCATTTACTTCTAACTTCAAAACCAAATTTGGATTTGATTTGTTTTTTTTGTGACAAATTTGGAGTCAGTTATCAGAAATCAGGCAGCTGGTGTGCAGCTGAACAGATGTGTGCATTGGTTCATCCACCTTCAGCCCAGGTGGGATCTTTTTACCTGTTCAGTCCCTCTCCGGAATTCTCAACACCTCCTGGAGTCGTGCTAATGGCCAGAATTACTCCTAATCTCCCCGATCACTTTATATTCGTCCAATTAAAGATAAAAGTCTGGTCCAGGTGTGTGTGTGTGTGCGTGTGTGTGTGTTTGTGTGTGTGTGTGCGTGTGTGTTTGTGTGTGTGTGTGCGTGCGTGTGTGTGTTTGTGTGTGTGTGTGTTGGGGTTTAAAAGGGATTAGCCTGCAGCTCAGGTGTTCCTCTAACAGGATTAGTGAGTCCTCCTGAGCGTTCTTACCGGTTAATCCGAATTATCTCTGACCAGAAACAAAAGGTGTGCTTGTGGACTCAGCGCGGATGGATGCTGGGCCAGGTAGCGTTGACCCGTCTGGACCCAGCCCTCCAGGTGTTTCAGGCGTCTGTTTGATCCGCCAGGCTTCTGAGTTGCAGGTTCAGGTTCTGGTGGTCAGCTGGAGAAACTTAAAGAATTGGACGTCCTGCAGCTTCCTGCCCACGTGCCCTCGAGCACACAGCAGCATTTAACCCGTTCACCTCCTGTGAAGGCCACTTCCTGCCTGCAGGATTCAAACCTGCTGCACTCTGAATTAATTTCCTTTCGTCTTCTGCAGCAGCAGCAAATCTGAGGCAGCAGTTCCCCAAAAACAGGGAAATTCAACCAGAGCAGATTGGGAATAATTCTGGGATTTTAAAATTGTTAAATTATATTAATGCATTAATAAAAGGAAAACGTTGCTGTTTAATTAGAAAATAAGTTTCCATTCCCTCTACAGGAAGCAGGATAACATTCAGCTGAAGCAGCAGAGTAAGGACGTTTATTTAAAGCTGCAAAAGCAAATCTGCAAAACAAGCTAGCTGTTAAATGTAAACACGATCACGGAACGCTCACCCAACCCGTCAGCTGTCACCTCTAGGCCACGCCCCCCTGATACTGGAACCCGCATTGGTAGAGGAAACGAGGTATGTTCAGACGTCTTTTGGTGCCCGTGACCTCAGATGTCGATCTTCTTTTTGGGACTCTGGTAGTTTGTTGTAAAGCTGAAGCGGTAGCAGCTGGCTGTTTCTCCCTCTCTGGTGTTACTGAGCGGAGAACCCCTCACACCAGCGGTGTTCTGGTGCTGAAACCAGTGTGTGATGGGTGGAGGACCCAGGGAAGAGCGACGTTTTATTGGTGGGGCTTTTTAGACAAATGCCAGAGAACCATTTTGTTATTTAATTTTTTTAAGAAAATATTTGTAGCTAAACTATTTGAACATTTAAGCTAGCCGGTTTTGCAGATTTGCTATTGTTGCTTTAAATAATCCGAGGAGTCAGATCCACTCTTGAGTCTGGATTAAATTATTTAAAGGGACTTTACGGAGTTTTGAATTTTTATGCTCGCGACTGCCCCCTCAGGCCAAAAGCGTAACGGCAGCTTCAATAGTAGGCTCGTGCACGAGGCGTGCATGCTGTACGTGCACACTCCTTAACGAAAATAACAGCTGAGACAGTCGTGTGTGTGTGTGTGTGTGTGTGTGTGTGTGTGTGTGTGTGTGTGTGTGTGTGTGTGTGTGTGTGTGTGTGTGTGTGTGTGTGTGTGTGTGTGTGTGTGTGTGTGTGTGTGTGTGTGTGTGTGTGTGTGTGTGTGTGTGTGTGTGTGTGTGTGTGTGTGTGTGTGTGTGGCCCAGAGGACAGGAGAACGTGCAGCCAATTAATGAAATAATTTGGTTCTGTACCTTTCTCTTCAGCACAGCGACAAAGGTTTATGATGGGTCAGTCCTCCTGCATGCTCAGGTCATTCCCTTCCCTTGCTTGAAAAATTGTTCCAAAATGAAAGTTGAACCCACATCTTTTTTATCTGTGAATTCAATGCCGTTCGGCGAGTCTCAAATAAAAATGTGGGCATCTTACTGTAAAAAATATACCATTAATGTAAAAAAGAAACTCTAAATGAACTATGTTC